ACGGTATATTCCGTTGTCAACTCCCTCCATAAAACCCACGAGCAAACAACCAGATGTTACAAATTGTCTCGAAGTCGTCTCTCTGTCTGGGTGCAATTTATCTCTTGTCTGGCCTTCTTCATGAACCCAAAACACAGACGTTACAAATCGTCTCATAGGCGTCTTTGTTCGTGTTGCACAACCTGGAGGGGGGCAACACTCTCTCCGACCCGGCGCACAAAGAAATGGTTAAAAGTTTTAAGTTAACATTTGTCCCTTACTATTTCACAGTTATGATTCTGTATGTAACCTAAGGTCTGTCGTTTCCCATCGTGGTTCCCGACCCAAGTGTAGGTGTTTCCCCGAGCGTACACACACTCCTATCCCGCGCTGCGGGGATACAAAGACGGCCGGGATCTCCCTTTCTCTCCGACCCTGGGTTTAACATCGTTTTTTTTTTATTATGTATTTATATTCGACCTGGTGGTGATTCATCCCGTTATCCTGGCTTTTCCATAAGTTTTACTTTTGTCTTTCATGCATATACTTATTACTATTAATTTATTTCCGATATCTTAGGTTAAGGGGTAAGTTTCTTGATCCTAGGAATTCGTATTCCTTGGTGCCTGGATGGTTATATAAGCGGAATATAGTTTACGGTGAATAGCGTTAACATTGATGTTATGTGCGATATTATGTATTGTGATGTCTTTAACTTAACTTGTTTGTCAGGGCTTTACTGACACGAAGTTGCATTCCATAGCCCGCAGTCTTTGCCCCACCCTATCTCTGCTCGCCGTTGTTGTTGCCTGCCGTTAATTCAAGGCCTCATTAATTTCCGTCACCCCTGAGTAGGTGAGGGCGGTTGAACCTTGGAGTCAGTTCTGGTTTTTGTCTGCCTGCTTCTTCTTGTGTCCCCTGACCCCGGGAGTTATTATTCTACTTTATGGCCTGTCGAAGCCCCACTCGCTGTTGCTGGGCTGGTGTTGTTCCCGGCTTTTTGCTTACGTTTGCAGTTCGCCGTGCTCTTGATTTCCTTCCCTCTTCAACCTTATATTGACTATTCGCTCCTGTCTGGGTGCGATTCAATTTTGACTTAGGAAGGTTCTGATTGTCATATGCTTCGGGTCGAATTGTATAGAAAGTATTGAAGTATGGAAATAACATTTCATATTGACTTAATGATGGTGATGGTTCAGTAGGCGTAACTTGTGACCTGGTTTAATTGGAGTGGGTGTGAATATCAATAACTTTAGCCTACTCTGTTGTTAAATTCCGACTTTAACGTTACTTTAATAGCAATACAGAATAATTGAGCTTTTTGTCTTAACTAGGCGAATGCGAACTTCTGGTGACCCCCGCAGCCGTGTTGTTCAGCTGGGTCTTGTGCCTTGAGAGATATACAACCCTCTTTTAAATCACCTCTCCCCCTGCCAACCTTCTGCTCTGGGAGTGTTTATTCTTGATTCCAGGTCCAAGGCCCCCTCACATCCAGACGCGCAGGGTTGTTTACATCAGCTCCCCCCCTGTGCACGTGTTCTAACTAGCTCGGAATTCCTGAACACACAATCAGTGATGATTCCTGGCTTTCTGTGGTTGTGATTTAGACAAAGGCGCCTCTGTTTCTTCCATTGCCTTTGAGTCGACACTGCCCTATTATTTGCCCATGTGCTGAGGTCATAGAATTCGTTTTGACTTCAGTAATATTAACATTCAGTATTGGATTAGCAAATGGGCAATGGTTCATTGATGTAGCTCGCAGCCTGGTCTCCAATTTGAGCGAGCGCGAGGATCGATAATTTAGCCTACTCTGTTGTTGAATTTCGAATTTTGACGTTACTTTAAAACCATGCAGGATGATTGGGCTTTTGCCTTAACTATGTCTGGCTGACACTCCCACTGTCTCTGCCGCCTGCACGGGTGACATGTGCCCGTTCATCAGGCCTTATCTTCCCTTGAAGCAACGTTGTAAATTCTGCCATTCTAACCCTCCTCCGGTTCATTACTTAACAACACCTGGTGTTTTGCAGTTTGCTGCGCTTGGTGTGTTTCACTCATTAAAAAAAACAAGTAAAAAGATAATATATAAAAATCATCAAATATTATTAATCTCAATTATGGAAGAAGGGTTAGTATACAACAGGATCCTGTAAGCGTTTCTGAACACGATCAGTTTTTCCAAGAATGACATTCCAGAAATGTAATAAAACTATGAAGTAAAAATTTTATGCGCATGCATGTAACTGTTCTGCATCACTTCTGGTTTCAGGTGTCATAGTTACGTCCTCCGATAATTTGTATAGCAGCCCTACTAGTTCATCCAGTCCTTCATAGATAGCTTTAACAGCTTCTGATCGTGCACTCCAGCGGTGTTTCAGGCCGTCGTAGTTTCCGCCACCAAAAAACAGGCCAGTGACTAAGGCTGAAAGACTGCGCCTGTGTGTTGTTTGGGACGTTCTTCCATGTAAATTCTTAATGGGTGTGCGTACTAAAATGTAATTACATTACATGTAGGCTGTGTGTGGCGGGATATATAAACTTTTAGGTTGAGGTGTAGATTTGTGCAGTAGTTTCAGGCTGCTGCGCCCGCCGCAACAAGTTATAATGTAATGTTGTAAGCCGCATTTTGGCGCCCCTTTACCTTGGCGCCCGGGGACATATGTACCCCCCTGCCCCCCCTAGCTACGCCTCTGACTGACACACACATTGCCCTCCACACACATAGACATATGGACTGTGACACACAGACATCTACTTTTAGATACACACACATGGATTAACACACACACATCGACTGACACACATAGACACACAAACGCATATTGACTTACACACTCAGATGGAGCCATGCACACACATCGACTCACACACACGCATTCACTTAGACACATACACACACATCGAGTGAAACACACACGTATGGACTTACACACACAAATGGACTGACACACACACACACACTTGTACGTGTACACACACATGGGGCATTGTCCGTTTGAGAAAGACAGACACACACATGGACTTACACACAGACATGGAGCCACACACATAGAAACCCATCGACTCACATGCACAGAAACATTATCATTGTAATATTTGTAAACTTATTTATTTAATAATAGTAAACAATAAACCTTCAATTCTTAGCGAAAGATGCAATAAAATTGTACATTGGCGTGGTGACGTCTCGTCCCGTGCAGAGCCCGCGGCCTCGCCTAGATTGGCAAGCCGGAGGAGGTGAGACATTGCCAGGCTGCGGGCTGGGCCGCTACCCCCCCCCCACCATACCCCCGCCCGAGGCAGAATAATACAGTACTATGTAAGCAGTTTTACAATATTAAATTAATATCTAAGGACTTTATAGCAGTGACTGCACGCATTGGGGTAGGGGGGGAAGAGGACATCACACTGTGAAGAGAAATCGGCAGCGTGATGTGTATATTTATTCTATGTTAAACGCGTAAAATAAAATATCCCCCGTGAGCTGGAGCGAACGCGCATGACTTGGCAGGGTCCGCCCCTCCAGGCAATTGTCGTGAGTTGGTATGGTCGATGTCGTGCAATAAGTAAATAATTAAAATAAGAATGCCACTAATTTGTTAATTAAACGACTTTAACATTTACGGACGTGAAAACGGAAAAACCTATTCCCCCCACGGGGCTTAGGGCGTGCCGCCTGGCAAATTATTTCTGTCTTAAACCCCTCCGTCCGAGAGCCAAATCCCCCGCAAGCGCGCGCATGGAGACTTTTATATATAAAAAAAAAGATTTGCAAATGGGTGAAATGATGGCTGCAATAGGAATGTCAGCTTCTTCGTGATGGAAGACGATGGAGGTAATGAGTTGATGCTTAAAATGCAGCCGATATTGCTCGTGTTTAAACGTTTGCTTTTGAATTGCAACAAGTGAGCAGGAATCAACACATATCAACAACCAGTCGCATAGCTACATCATGGGACCTCCTTTGCCAGTACCAAAATATAATAATAAAGTTTTTTTAGTTTTTCCCCAAAATTATCAGTGTTGTTTTTTGTTTGCATTCAGACTGCAAGTATTGTGGTTAATGTAAACATGATTCCTTGCAAAAGGTTTCAGTTTTGTTGCCAGAAAAAAGGGAAAAACCCCTATTATTTTATTATTCACTTTTATTCATTTCCACTGTTGTGACAATACGCCGTGCACAATCAACATGGACAACTGGACAATTAAAGACAAGCCACAGTACGATTGGGGCCATACAACCTAAGGTATGAACCATATAGTAAACCGCTGTAGTGTGCACTCCTTAAACAGAAGAGGAATAGCAAAACTACACGAAGTCTCTCCTGAAGCCATCTTGTCTTGGCTATAGTAGACATTGGCAATAAGCTCCTGAACACATTGGCACCATACGCAATAATGTAATATTATTTAAATGCATTCTGTGTTTAAATAAGCAAAGGCATATTTAATGTCAAGCAAATGCAAAAAAACGCCCTTAATGCACACATTACAGTACTGTCAAAATTCTTTAATAATGGTAGGAACCTCCTGGTTACACCAGCCCACAGGGGATTATTGTGTCCGTCGTGCAGGGAGGGGCTGGGTGGGGAGGGAAGGTGGGGCTGGGTGGGGAGGGTGGGGCTGGGTGGGGAGGGGAGGGTGGGGAGGGGCTGGGTGGGGAGGATGGGGAGGGGCTGGTTGGGGAGGGTGGGGCTGGGTGGGGGTGGGAGGGGTGGGGCTGGGTGGGGAGGGGCTGGTCACCCCTTGGTGCCCTTAACAGGACCCTGCGGGGTGGGCTGGTAGGAACGAACAATTGAATGGCTATAATAAAATGAAATGGCAAAAAATGGCCGCCAATAAGTGGATGCCCCGTGGCCCCGCCCTCCACCCGCGTAACCCCGCCCCGGCCACCCGTGGCCCCGCCCCATCTCGGTGTCCCCGGCCCCAGCTCGTTACCCCGCCCCTTACCGCCGTAACCCCGCCCCAACCCCGCGGAGCCCCGCCCTCCACCTCGTGCCCACGCCCCCTGCCGCCGTTGTCCCGCCCAGCCCCGCGTAGCCCCGCCCCCTGCCGCTGTAGCCCCGCCCAATACACCCCTAGCGGGGGAGAGATTCCCAGGCCTGGCTCTAGGCTGGAAAGCCGCCGACGAAGAGGGGTTAGGGAGTTGTTTTTAATGTAAAAGCTTTAAATGTAAATGTTTCTATTAAAAAACATCAGGGAATGTAACATTGTTAAACATTAACTCCCTTTCACACACGCGGGGGTACGATACGAAGGGAGAGTTTGAGGCCTACGTCTAGGCTTTAGGCCTAGCTGTAGGCTTTAGGGCGCCATGAGTTAATTTTTAATTGACCTGTTTTAATTATTTATGTAAAAGCTTTAAATTTAAATGTTTCTATTTAAAAGCATAAGGGAATGTAACATTGTTAAACATTAACTCCCTTGCACACACGTGGGGGAACGATACGAAGGGAGAGTTTGAGGCGTTGTTCGAGGCTTGAGGCCTAGCTGTAGGCTTTAGGCCGCCGTGAGTTAATTTTTAATTTAAATGTTTTTATTATTTATGTAAAAGCTTTAAATTTAAATGTTTCTATTTAAAAGCATCAGGGAATGTAACATTGTTAAGCATTAACTCCCTTGCACACACGCGGGGGTACGATACGAAGGGAGACTTTAGGGCGCTGTGAGTTTTTTTTATTTAATTTCAAAGTTTTAATTAAAAGCTATCTCAGGGAATTATAAGGGAATGTTACACTTGTTTAGCCAGGAAAGCCTCACAGAGTCTAAAGGTTTTTGTAGGGTCATGCCAAGTGTTTGCAGTAGGGGGCGATGTTGCTACACGGACGGACAGACGGACAAACGGACGGACGATATAATCTATTGTAGGCTGGTCCACTTCGTTCCTACCAGTATAAAACTCAACGTTTAACCTACTCACGCCGGCTTGTGCCCGCCCTCACAGTCGGGCATATTTGCGGAATACACCACGCCGCCGTTGACCCTGGCTATTGACCGAGCAACCCAACGTTCCTATCAGCTCCCTCCGCAGGAATGTGTTTATTTGCGCACCGGAGTGCAGTACATTTGTTGGATCTTGGCGCGCAAAATGTGACCTGGCAGGCATGTGCGGTGTTGGGGGGGGGGGAAACCGCTCGTGGGGAAAACACGTGGCTTGTAATGTCCGTCGCTCCGTCAGCCGACTTGCCCTACAGGGAATTCGATATTCAACGCTGATTTATGTTTGTGCAACGTTTTCTATCTCTCATAAGACGACGCATTTGTATTCACGCGAGCTTGTATTTGCTTCACCGCTGTGATTTTGGTAAACACCCCCCCCCCCCTTCCATATGTCGCTCTTGCATGGAAATAAGACTATCCTTGGTCTCTTGAGTTCTCACCTCATGGTCATAGAAAACAAACTTGATTTGACTTGGTGAGTTAGTGACCGTCATGCGGTCATCGTGGTTCTGTGGCCCCTGCAGATTACAGAGAACTGGAAAAGCAGTTTTCTGCAGTGCAAATTCCGCCTCTGTGACTGTCCCCACTCAAAATAAAAAAATATATATTTATGGTCAGCAGGAATCGAGTGAGGTTACTGCGGCGTCGCTCCCGTACATTTTTAAAATACAAAATTAAACCTGCAAAGTGAAGACAGCCAGAAACGCACAGCATAGGTAACTTTCGATGCAAGAGTTGTATACAGTATCTCTTTTTTGGGTTTCGTCTCCATATAATACTACACTCTCCTAGTACCACACTCCTAGTACCACACTCCCCTAGTACCACACACCCCTAGTACCATACACTCCTAGTACCACACTCCCCTAGTACCACACTCTCCTTCAGATAGAAAGACATACCGCTGGAATTAAACACTGGTAAGAACCAACTCTACACAATGAATTGATGCAGTGTTACACACATGATGACCAGGTATATATCACGCGGGCGTGTGCGCTCGCATCGTACAAGGCACATCGACGTTTTGCCGAACTGTCCTTGATTATCGACGGTGCACATGGTGAAGGTCGCCCAAGTCGAGCAAACAGTGCCCACCCTCAGTGTCGCGCGCCACGTTGTTTACCATGGCGGACACTGGCGAGCTCTTGTTAACAGCTCACATTGGCGGGGGGTGGGGGGGCTTGAAGCGAGTGCCAGCTGGAAGAGGCCCTCACGATGGGGCAATCGCTCACGCGGACCGACGTGGCTCCGGGCACCGCGTACCCGAGACCGTATCGCGAGCAGATTGTGTCGCCGTGTTTGTCTTTGGAGAGGTTTCCATTGCACGCATGCACACCGGTGGCTGTTTACTATCGATTGATGGGTGTCCCACGAACATTTTTAGCTCAATATTTTTGTTGTACTGTTCCCACATGTAGGCTCCCCGCCACCGTCGATAACCCGCGTAGACTAGCGTGGTGAGGTATGGTCAAATAACCCATATGACCAGCAATGAATTGACAACAAAAAGGACTGTACATGTTCTACAAAACCGTTTGCTCATATGGTTTAACATTACCCATTCCGCTTGCATTGCAACACTTTACACACCACTTTTGATCTTTTAAAATAATATTGTATCATCTGATTCCCAGAGTTTGTGGCGGAATGAGCTTGATAATTCACTCTAAACATTCACTTCATTCGTCTTCTCCCAATCATGTACTTTGTGTGATCACGTTTAATCCATGGCACCTCCTTAATTCACAATTTTCCCTCTGAACGTCACCTGGGCCTCCCTTGCCTTAGCATATATAGACTCAGTGCATGCCGGTGGCGTGGTATCAGCGTCAGATTAAAGGAAGTTTTTTTTTTTAAACATCATGTCATATTTGTCTTATCCTGGGGCCTATGTACAGAACTAATTAAGCAATTAGATAATTTACATAAGATTGGGAAATTACTACAATCTCTGCCGGCGGATTTTAGGAGCATTTTATATATTGAGGCCAGTGAGCTGTCTTACACGAATGTGAAGCCGCATTAATGAGATTACATTACTATAAATAAATTATCTTGCATATAAGTTGTGCATAAATTATGACTAGCATGGCGAAGTATGGTCAAACAATGACCAACAGAGCAACAGAGCATGGGGAGGCAGTGGATTGAAAAAGGGAATATTATTATTTTAATCATAGCAATCAGAACACGTCAAATTAACTTATATCATTGCAATTAAAGTGCTGTGATAAATTCTAGCCATGCAAAAAAGGCAGCTTGATACAAAACTCACTCTTGGACAGCGGTTCTTAACCTTTACTGTAGCCTTGCACCCCTTTGGTTCTCAATCGTAAAAAAATATGCACGTTAATAAATACAGCTACAAAGTAGCTCTACTTACCGGCCCATGCTTAATTTGTGTTTCGATGATTTACCTTCTAAAAAATCTGCCGTGTTTAGCATCCCAGGTTAAGAACCACTGCTCTAGGAGCACCATTCACATAATTGCTCGGACATCTAAAACGAGTTTATTTTGTTCAACCAGGTGAGACCTTAAAATACCATGATAATATAATTTGCAAGAGATAAGTGGGGCATTAATATGTCAGTAGGGGGCAATGATTACTATGTGCAATCCCAATTCAGTAATTTTGCGGGTAATTTTGGAATTTTGGCAAATTTGTGATCCTGACGCTGGCACACAATGACCTACTCTTGCAAATTACGTCAGGGGGTCTTGAATGTTCATTTTGCGATGGTTATTACACGACAGTAATAATCAGGGTGGCCGCATGGCATCTCCCAAAGTGACACAATATATTATGGCTGTGATTTTCACCTGCTGTTAACCACGCGATTCTCATGCTCGTAGCACAGAAAAGGTATCAGTTTGCCGTAGGTCCTTTAATTTCACCAGCCACTCGCAAACGGGGGCAGACCCAATACATTTCCCAGCGACGTGATGATGTCAGAGACAAAACTGCACGTGATTTGTTGTGGAGATGGTGTAGCTGAAATTGGATTGTGCTGCAACAGTGTTCCTGGAGCTACATGCCAGGACGCAGGGTGAGCAGGAATCAGGTTGCTCTGATCAGGGTGACTGTGTGCACTGGGCACACACACGCATCTCCCATGAAGCATGTCATCCTGGTGCGACTTCCCGACAGCTCACAACTAGCAGACCTTTGTACCACAAGCATAGAGCAATTGTCAGGGTGCTGTGTGCATCTATTGGTGGTGCCGACCTCGATTTTCTCGCTCCCGAATCAACCTATCAACAGCACATTTCTCAGAATTGCCCCTGTTGACAGCATTGGCTGGTAATTATCGGCCAGATGTTAATGATATCATTTTCTATGAGAACGCCAAGCATTAATGCTCGTTAGTTACGAGTTCACCCACACCCCCCCCCCCAAGAAAAAATGGCCACAGACACACCTGCTGGTGAGATTTGAATCGTTCTCGAGAGGTAAAGATCATCGACACCACATCTCAGACCCTTTCTGTCAAAATGTTTTTGATTCCTTCGTTGTGCTCAGGTGCTTGGATTCTGATACTTGAAAGTCATCAACCTGTGCAAATTACACTTGGCGGGGCAGCAATGAAGAGCCATGAAATATACAATGCATACAGATTGCTGTCAATCGTTGTAAACTTAGATTTTCAAAGCGTGCCTGTGCTTCTCTTTAACGCGAATTATCTTCTTTTGGTATTTCTCCACTGTGGTGCCGTACTGCCGCTGGAAGAGCCGCGTGTGGTACTTGAGCTCCGGCAGCAGCATCCGCAGACACCGCTCGCGTGTCCGTGGGTCCAGGCCGCTCCTCATGTTGTAGCCCAGGATATCCACTGCGCCGAACACAAATGGCCTGATTTCCCTTTGCTTAATCTTTCTCGCGCCCACCTCGCTCGCCACGCACTCCTCTCTACGGGCGCTCACCTCTCTGCGCAGGGCATCCACCTCGCGTCGCATTCGCTCCACTCCGAACGCCTCCACCTGGCGCTGGAAGCGACGCGAGAAGTGTTCGTACAAAGCCACGTCCAGCGCGTTCCAGCGCCGGATCATCTCGTACAGGTGCGGTTCGTATTTCTCGACCGAGTTATTGCCGTGGGTCTTGGCGCGCTTGTTTAAAGACAGGGAGACCACATCCTCCATCTCCCAGCCCAGCAACTCCTTGGCCAAGATCACGGACTCGTCAAAGCGCTCGGTGATCATGACCAGGTCGAATTTGGTGTTCAGCCGTGCTAAGCCAGCACGGAAACTATCACTTGAAACGGCAGCGTTGGAATCCAACCCGAAGTCAAATGCCATTGGGTTCTTGACAAAAGCGGGGGGCTTCTTTTGCGAATTGTAAAACCTTTCAGGCTTCTCTAGGAAAGTCCTCAATGGGTCATTGCCTTTACTTTCTTTTTTCGCTGCGATGAAAGCAGGCACGACGCTCTGGTAGTATTGGAACACAGACTCGAAGGCGCTCTCGGGACGGCGCACAATGGACAGGTAAGTGGCATTGGGACTCATCACGCGTGCCACCTCAGCTATATTTAAGCGCATGTGGCTACACAGGATGTGGAAGTGCCCGCCGGCGGCAGCGACGATCGGTGGCAGAGGAGCCACGTAAGAGGCCATGAACGGGCCCGGGTAGACAAATTGGTACGTCCTGATCGGGAAGGCGAACGTCAGGTTGTGCTTCTCGCCGAAGCGGAACAGTATATTCTGGAAGGTGCTGCTTGCCGTTTTGTGAGTCTTCAGGAAGACGACATCAGTGCGCATCGGCCGAGCTGCCTGCTGTGGGCTTGGTGCTGCGGCCGGGACTTTAAACACCCAGTTCCTCGTGTCTCTCCACTGGCTCCTCTTGCCTTCGATGTCTGTGAACCATGGCACCGGGAGGCCTGGAACACGCAGCTGTGCACTTTTGTTTTCACAAACACAACAAGGAAGAAAAAGGAAAACCGATTATACATGGCTCTGCTTTGGGTAAAATATTTAAACGTAAACAGGACATGGATTTACAGATCCAGTTCGAGTCAAGAGGTCAACATGGACAATGCCATTGGTGCCACCAGACCTCATAATTGATTGCTTTTTCTGGATTCTGCCTCTGTAGAAAATTTGACATTCAACCTGCAAGGTCCTCACAGTTGCATCATCATGGTCATCATCATCATCACTACTGACATTACTGCCAGTGCACCACTTCACTCCAATGCCTCTCAGTAAGCGGCCCTTCATTATCCTGCACACGGGTCTCACACATCTTAACCACCATCTCATCATAGCCTCCTCATCCTGATTACATCCACAACACTTCCTTTCGATTCTGACATTCCAAGTTGTTTACCTTGTCATCCTAAAGATTTGATATCTGTGAATAGAGCCAGGTTATATAGAATGAAAAACTCCATAACGTTTAACGTCTAGTTAATTAATAAAATAAGTGATTAACAAAGATCGTTGGCTATGGATTTTATCAAAGACCTCACTTTTCCGAATTTGTAGATTTTCAAACAGGACTCGGAATAACGCAAGATGGGCCCCAAAACCAGGCAGCCAGGTAATGTCTCAAATCTAAACATTGTATCATAGAATACATTTTAAATAGCATTCGGTACAACCAGTCACATACTTGTTGAAATTAAAAGTTACGTAAATCCCAATCAACAGATTCAAATAAAATAGAACATGGACCCAGAGGATGAGAAGGTTACATAACTATTCACTAACAAGTGGCTCTACATAGAGCATGGAAGCGGGTCTGATTGAGTTTGTTTTTCGTTATTTGGCTCTTGACAGCCCTGGCTTCAAGCTCACCCTATAACGTGAGCTATGGAACAATGCACGTATCGTTTAACCTTGAACACCATCGTAACGTGTATGCTGTCTTCACCAGGGAAGTGCGGTCAGGGGAGGCAGGGGGAGGTAGAGCCTCACCTGTCATACTCCAATGAAATATCTGTTACTAAAAGTAAAAAAAATATATAAATATTAAGATTTTTCCATTGATCTGTGTTATAAATGTCATTTCTGTACGATTCCAATCATTTTTATAGTCAAATTCGCCAAATTTGCGGAGCTCCGCTGCAAATACAGGAAGAAACGAGAGGTGAGGCAGCGACGAGCTCAGCCTCCCCTCTGATTGCGCAACCCCTCAGTAACTGGATGGAGCGCGGGCAATAAGCGCGTGCCTGTTACTATCTCAGTATGTTACCAATGTGATGTTTGTAGACCCTTTCATTCCATGTCCACGCCTTCCATACTCCAGGTAACTTGTTTCACGTATGTGTATAAATATATTTAGGCTCGCTGGTCTCTTCATGACACTGCAATGAAAAAGCACCAGGGGAGGCAGCTATCACATCTGCCTCACTGAAGGGGACGTGTCTAAGACGCCCCCCTCCGTGACGCCACGCCCCGCTCAGTGTGTGAATCTGGCTCTGACACTAGCCAGTGCCTCTCCAGCCATTGACCTCACCGCACGTCACTGGTCTTCACGTGTATGATGCTTAACGAAAAATCACGTAACAAACTACAATTAAAGTATAGCTTTACTTATTTTTTAAAGCACCCACATAGTATGTATGTTGAACTTCTTTTGCATCGTACGTAGCCAACCGTGGTCATCGGAGGTGTCGTAAATATTACACGTTCATTACCGGAATATCTTTTAGCATTTTAAGTGTTTCTTTAACTGTTGTGCCCGTTTTGTCTCATTCTATCTCCATATATAAAAAGGGAAAGTTGTGAATATGTGTGTCTGTTCAAAATGTTTAGCGTACTTCCCGACATGCAACAAACTGGAAATTGTCCACGTGGGTACTTTCTAGACTGTACACCATGCACACATTATAAAAATAGACTTTTGTATTTTTTTGGGGGGGGGAGGGGGGGAGCTCAATAATGCATATATTTTGGCAATCGAACTCGGCGACTCGAGTTTGATTCCCGCTCACAGCCACCACCGATGACGATTATTAGAACCTGTCCTGAGCCTCCCCTAGGTCGACTCAGCCTCAAACGAGTAACTGTTGTGGTGTGAACATCGCCACTGGGGAGACAAAGGCGGCCGGGCGTGGTGAATCCAAGTCCCGGGCGAAGCCGTGTAGTAAAGCTAGTAACAGATAAAGGAAAAGGCTATTTTGTATACGATTCCAGAACGACAGCAGGAGCGATGACGAGATGTAATCATCGCGCTCGGAGGCCACTCCTGGATTAGAAAGTCGAACCAAAGGGAAGTGGTAGAGAACGGAGTCGGATTTTTCCAGCCAGAAACACAAGAACAGTGGCTTTACAGCGATGCAGGACAGCTGTGGAAATTCTCCAGATTTGGCCAAATGTTCGGGATCGCGTGTAGAGTCACAGGGCTGAGCAGAGCCAGTGCAGTGTTCGTGCATTTCTAACTTGGCTGAGCCATTGCCACGTGTTCATTGCGCTCTTGGGTAACGTGTGCGATATGAGCGTGCTGCATGCACCCAGTAATTTGTACATCAGAGAGTGTTGGTTTTCTGAGTGTATCGCAATACATGGCTGCATCCTGAGAGTACACGCTTGTTTAGGGTTGTTATTCTTACAAGGTGTGGGCTTGGTGGGTGGAACGCGCGTCACATTAATTGAAGCATCTGGTAATATGTTCTTAAGTTACTGGTAAATGCCTTATGGCCCTCTGAAATACTGTAAACATGACGAGCATGCAGATGCCTCATGACTAACGGACGTAGCTTCATTCTCACCCTGACCCAACTGCGTGATTCCTGACCCACCCTTAGCGTCCAAAATATTCAGAATATTTATTTTATTTATACAGAAGGAATCCGATGAGCTATAGAGAAAATTTTCACAGATGTCCAGTCGGGGCGGGTTAGAACGGAACAACAACAAACAATACAAAACACGACAGCAGTGCGAAGTATAAATTGTGTGCAGATGCGACGCATTCGATTGTACGTAGGGAGGGTGTGTAGGCATATTTGCCTCCAAAAGTAACACAATTTTGGCAGACGGGGGCGTTGTGAAGTCACACCAAACAATATTCATTATTATTAAGTGACCATTTACTGCGATAATGAGCCAAGAATGTCTGTGTGTCCCACGCGTGACGTCACTTCACGGTCGGCCAGCCCCCCCCCCCCTCATTAATAATCATGAACAGGTGACGTCCTCCACATGGACCCCCCCCCCTCATTAATAATCATGAACAGGTGACGTCCTCCACATGGACCCCCTCCCCTCATTAATAATCATGAGCGGACGACGTCACTCCACATGTAGGAACCCCCGCCCTCATTAATAATCATGAGCAGGTGACGTCACTCCACATCGAACAGCCCCCCTCATTAATAATCATGAAGCGGTGACGTATTCGAAATGGACACCCCCCCCCCCTCCATTTATATTAATGAGCGGCTGACGTCACTCCACATGGGGGGAGGGGCCGAGGCGCCTCCTCCCCCCTCTTCAGCGTTGTGGCCGAAACGTCGTGAGAATTGTTTTATTATGTTTTATTTTTATTATTTTATTACTTCCCTTCTACGTGACTTTACCGAAAGAACCAAGAAGAAAGGCAGAACCGTCACGTGATCTCCGTCACGCTGTTGAGACATCAAAGTAAAAAGAACGTCCTGCTGAACAAGGGAATGTAACCTTTAAATGAAATCGGTCTGTGTCACCGCGCCCTTACAAATTGCACGCAAATTGATGCAATGAATATCACGTCGCGGTCTGATTTTCGCTTGCAAGTTTAAGATTTACTGAAATATACCCGTCCTTGGACGGGCAAAAGGCGAGTTATTATTGAGTTGCCGTGTCCATGCACTGCTGGATGAAGGCCCCCGAACGCTACATCAGTCATTAAGGTTGCTTGTCCACACTCGGCCCCTCCGACTCGGGTGGACCGTGTCTGCAACGCAGTGCGCAGTCCACAGCCACACGGCCTTCTCGCTGAGAGGCGAACACTCGCGATCACGAAAATCGCGAGCCTGGGTTCGATTCTCGGCTCAGTGCGCCTTATTACTCTGTGGAGTTTGTACGCTCTCCCCCACTTCCACATATAGCCTTCGTTGGAGTTCTTCCGTTCCCTCCAATAGATTTTTTTTAAACCCGTACAATGTAAATATAATCACCTGGAAGTTGATAATCGGTGAGGTTTTTCGATGTAAACAAGCGTAATAATATTCTTTGGGTCTTTCGGAAAAGTCACGTAGGTGGTTCAAAGAAAATAACAAAAAACTACGACGTTTCCATCACAACACATGATGACGATCGCTTGTGTTGTGATCGAAACGTCGTAGCTTTTTTCTTATTTTCTTTGAACCTATTTACGTGACTTATGTCTGAAAGACCCAAATAATGTGAATTCCTGCAGTCACGAAAGTTTATAGTCAATATTTAAGCATAATAATATGTATTATCGGTGTACAGTATAATAAAGATCCGGTTTTACTAGACATGTGGTTGGTAGTTTGGCATTGCTTCGTGCACAGGGCGCCTGCAATTGAAAATGTCGCTTGATGTGATGCGGTGAGTGATTTGACAGTGCAGGACCCTGCATTGTAGAACTGTGAGTGAGCTGACAGTACAGGACCATGCATTGTAGAACTGTGAGTGATCTGACAGTACAGGACCCTGCATTGTAGAACTGTGAGCTGACAGTACAGGACCCTGCATTGTAGAACTGTGAGCTGACAGTACAGGACCCTGCATTGTAGAACTGTGAGTGAGCTGACAGTACAGGACCCTGCATTGTAGAACTGTGAGTGAGCTGACAGTACAGGACCCTGCATTGAAGAACTGTGAGTGAGCTGACAGTACAGGACCCAGCATTGTAGAACTGTGAGTGAGCTCACAGTACAGGACCCTGCATTGTAGAACTGTGAGTGAGCTCACAGTACAGGACCCAGCATTGTAGAACTGTGAGTGAGCTGACAGTACAGGACGCTGCATTGAAGAACTGTGAGTGAGCTGACAGTACAGGACCCTGCATTGTAGAACTGTGAGTGAGCTCACAGTATAGGACCCTGCATTGAAGAACTGCGAGTGAGCTGACAGTACAGGACCCTGCATTGAAGAACTGTGAGTGAGCTGACAGTATAGGACCCTTCATTGTAGAACTGTGAGTGAGCTGACAGTACAGGACCCTGCATTGAAGAACTGTGAGTGAGCTGACAGTATAGGACCCTTCATTGTAGAACTGTGAGTGAGCTGACAGTACAGGACCCTGCATTGAAGAACTGCGAGTGAGCTCACAGTATAGGACCCTGCATTGAAGAACTGTGAGTGAGCTGACAGTACAGGACCCTGCATTGTAGAACTGTGAGTGAACTGACAGTGCAGGACCCTGCATTGAAGAACTGTGAGTGAGCTGACAGTACAGGACCCTGCATTGTAGAACTGTGAGTGAGCTGACAGTACAGGACCCTGCATTGTAGAACTGTGAGTGAGCTGACAGTACAGGACCCTGCATTGTAGAACTGTGAGTGAGCTGACAGTACAGGACCCTACATTGTAGAACTGTGAGTGAACTGACAGTACAGGACCCTACATTGTAGAACTGTGAGTGAGCTGACAGTACAGGACCCAGCATTGTAGAACTGTGAGTGAGCTGACAGTACAGGACCCTGCATTGAAGAACTGCTCCGAAAGAAGACGGGCCTCGCCTATCAATGCCGCACCTGTAGCTAGTCAGACCACTTGTTATCGCGTACTCCTAAGAGTTCAGTCCAACAGGAATGTGCACTGGTCACGACATAGTACGTCGGACTCAAGGTTGGATCCCGAATATCTGCCACTGGCAACCGGTTTGAGATGTTTAGGGCCGGAGCGTCTCACGTGAAACCGCGCTGACCGATCCAGCAGCAGCAGCAGCAGGATCACCGTGGAATGGGGATCGATGTGTTGGAGAATGTTGTGGGTTTCCTCTCCAACACACCGGTGTGCTGAACTAGTAACAAATTGTGACAAGTCTTACTTATTGGCTGTGTCCTGTGGTGGCGAGTTTAACGACACATGTATATATGTTACGCGATCTAACCCTGCCCCTCTTCAAACGTTCGTAATATATAATTAAATAACCCCCTTTCTTTCACGGAGATAACAAAACTATTATTGAAAACAAAGTGTCACTTAAACATACGTGACAACTCAGACAGCGGCGGTTGGGGCTAAAACTTAACTTGACCACACTTGAAAATCCGGTTTAACCACACACGAGTGGCTTGGGGGGGGGGGCCCAGTTGAACGCAAGTGTTAGTCAGCGATTACACATGTTACGACATTATTCAGGTAGCCCATATTTGTAGTTATTAGTGTAAAAACACACGCGCACACAATCATCATACAAACCTCAAGTACAAGAATAGCAACATAGATTAAGATGACGATTAATGATCATAAAATACTCACTAGAATCCCAATGCTTTCGTCAATAAGGCTGATAAGGCTGATCTAAACGGATATACAGCCAAATCTGGCTGTCGCCTGATGATGCTAGTTGTAATTACTGGCGAAACATCGTACTCGAATTTGCAAATGGTGTAGGTTTACTCTCCAATACACAGGTGTGCTGTACTAAGAACGAATTGGATGTTTACGTGACAAACCTTACTAGTTGGCTGTGTAGTTTGGTGGCGGGTTTAACGACACATTTATATTTACGCGAACTAACCCCAAAAAATACCTCTTATGGATATACAGTATATATACACAGTACGCATATATGGGCGACATTTATGGCAATGCTCGCTTCTCAATGGCCCCTTCTCTCCACAACGAAGGGCGATTGCCCGAAACATCGCCTACTCTATGAATATATTTTTGCTCATTGAGACAGCGTCATTGGCAAACGTGAGTTTTTTTCGTTCGCGTCATATATTTGTGTCGATGCACCACTGCCGACGCGACATCATCGAACGAACGCAAATAATGTCCAATTCGTTTCTGATCGATGCGCTCGCCCCTTGCAAGCCTGAGCAGGGATGGGCTGCAGGTGGGGGATGCTGACACAGGCCGCCTTGTTGTTGAGAAGTCTACATATTTGGCACGTTCACTCAAGGGCTTGTGCGGGTCAAATGCTTTAACTTCATTCCTGTCTACCGTATACTTGTTATAAAAGGCGCGCGTTCACGCCACGCGTTATGTCGTCTCTTACCGCCAGCAACGGTAATTTTGTCAGTAATTAGTTCAAGTGTCACTAAGCGACGTATGCTCGTTGAAACGTTCTTTGGCAAATCGATCGGCCTTCCAAAAGTAACAGAATAAAAGAATAGCGTTGAACGCGTCCTCTTTTACGTTGCCGACTCAACGCATCGAGGGGACGCGGCGTGAGAGTGTTTCGACAAAATAAGCGACGCGGGACGGATTCTATCAAATCTCACGTCTGTTACATTCAGAGGCGCGCTCCTGTAACCGCAACCCGCCGTATTCGGCCGCTGCAGAGAAACTTTGTTTATTTGTTATAGACGACAGTCCATTCCTACACGTGTACGAATAATAACAAGACATATTAATAACAAGAGATATTACTGTTCTTAGTTACATGAATATCGCCGGTGCATGTCAAGAGCCCACATCGTCAGAGTGGATCATTGAATCTGACGTTTTGTTACTACACCAATGCATATTTCGCCTATTGCATACACATTAATAAATGTGGCTAAACATACGTGATTGAATTATATTATGTCTATGAAGGAAAAAAAACCGTGCTTCCCACTCAAATGAGTGTCGGGCGATGCTCTCTCCCTGTTGACAGCGGGTGGTGGAAATTCCACATTTCTGTGGCTGGAGCCAGTCCACCCATCGGCCAGCTACTGTTTTAACCTATCGGCCCTGGATGCAGTGAAAGGATGAGCCGAGTGCGACCCTGCCGACTGGGTGGCTTGTTGCATCCCCGCAACCTTCCAGTCTACGATTACCGCGCGTCGAAGTGTCAGCAGACGGCCGTGAAACTCTGCGCCTCGACCGATAAATGTAACCGGCGACGCAGATTTGCACGAAGGACTTTGCGTGACGGACGACTCGGAGACGCGTGGACTGACCTTGGCAGCGCCAGATAGAAGACGCTGGTGACAACGCAGATCACGAGCAGAGCCGCGAAGGCTTGAGCGAGCGTGCGCGGCGCGATGGCCATGGCGAGTCTGAGCTGCGGGGCCGCTCGGGAGGGGCAGTCGTGGGGGCCAGGGCGGCTCCGCGAGCCCCCCCCCCTCCCTGTCCGTCACTGATTTGAGGTCTGGGCTCTTTCGCGTGGCCACTCCTAATCGTCCATCAGTCGTGATCATTCCACTGTTGGATGAAGGACTCCCCAAGTGGCCGCCTCCCTCTCGCAATCTTGCGGTAAGAAAATAAAAACCGACCGAAGACAAAGGTTCCCCGGAAAGCCTGAACAGATTGTTGGGAAAAATGCTGTTAGCGAGCACCTATGAAGGCCGGCGCGGCACATGAGGGGGTGAGCGGCCAGCATCACGTCCAGCCAGCTTTGTCTCTCCAGTGGCGATGTTTTCACACCGCACCAGGGACTCATTTGAGACTGAGTCGACCTAGGGGAGGCCCCGCACCGGTTCAGATAATCGTCACTGGTGTTGGCCGTGAGCGGGGAATCGAACTTGGGTTACCGGGTTCGTAGCGCAGCGCGATAACCACGACCCTACCATTCCCCACACCATGTAACAATCTACCTAATTACTTGTACATAAGCGTATTTCATCGCTACATCTTCTCGGTGGTTCGACACAACTTGGACGCGTTCCATCCATTGGCTGCCACTCAGTCGTCATTATTTTTGACGCTCTGCCATCAATTCCCTCTTGCGACGTGTTTTTGCCGAAGCTCACTTACTTTTCTAAAACAGTTTGCATGAAATACAGCCGGGCTGTGGGGTCTCCGCACGAATATTATCGAGCCCTGTGGAGGCAGCGGAGGTTGGTAGATCGCACAAATGTTGCGACACTTCCTTCCCGCGGGTGTCGAGGTACCTTTTCATGGCTCGCCATGGAATAAGATAAGACAAGTTGACTCATGGGCATGTCGCGCGCGTCGGCTTTCTCCGGGTGCTCGGGTTTCCTCCCACTTGTATCATCAAGTAGCTGAAAACATTAAAATACAAATCCAATGCAGCACCCTCCTGACAAAGAGTCTTACAACTCAGGGTGGCTTTTCTGAATAGATAGATAAGTAATCATTACAGTATTTCTAACCTGCGTGTGTTTTCTCACTCACGCGCCTCTCATTCGGCCTCGCGGTGTGATTTTCAAGTATTCACTTCTCTTTCCGTGCCACGGCGCACACGTTTCAGTTTTTGTTTTACATTTTTCGTGAGTGACTAGGTTCGCGTGGCCACTGCCCATGAATAATGCCGGATCAGAGTTTCCACGTCCACTTTTGGCGTCTGCGTTCATTGAAAGCTATCGCCAAGATTTAAATTAGGGCTGCAGATGGACTTTTTTTTCTTTTCCAGTAATGAACTTTTAATATGGAAAATGTAATTTCCAAGTTGTACTTCTTCATATATAGAGATATATCAAAATGACCGTGGATGTGGTTCGGTGACGTGAAGGTCGGCGCACTTTTCAATAAAACGGACCACCTGATTTCGATTCCCGAACACGGCTAACATCAGTCGTAGGTGATATCTGAACAGGTGTTGGGCGCACTCTTCACCAACGTGGTGAAGTAGGGTCAAACAACACCCTACTATTGACACGGCACAGGGAGGCCTTCATCCAGCAATAGATTTACAAAGGGGAACAAATGATCATTCTTATAATATGCACTGCGACTTACAGCCCTTTGTAAATTTGAAGGCTCCTCACGCCTTTTCAATTAACACAATCATTACCGTCGTTGTCGAGAATATCAGTAACTTACACACGCGGGCGATATGTCCCCTTCACTTCCCCGTCTAGCCACATGAAACCCACATTTGACACCGCGTCGATTCAAGGAAGTCTGGTGCTGATGAAAAACTCTGTGTCGAAACGATCAAGAGTTTTGCTTGTGTTGAATGAATATTTCTGAAATGATGCACTAAGTTGGTACTTACAGAAACGTTACTGATTCGTAAAAAAATTGCTTTCGGTAAAGGAAAGAAAGTGTGCTTGTAATTATATGCACCACTGCCAACACAGTCACTCAACAAATACTTTGTTTTGAAAAGAAGAGCCATTGTAACAAATATATACGTCGTGAATCGGTGGCGAGTGATGTCAGAACCGGTCCTGTCCTGCACCTCCCAGCGCGCAGACCCGCGTGGAGAAACGAAACATCGCCCTCGACCGACACGCGGCGCCTTTACGCAATCACTCAATGGCTTGGCTTTCAACACTATGGTCTGCGTAGGGAAATATATAATAGGTGTGACGTTTCTGGAAATTGCCATACGTACGGTGCATGTATAGCACATAATGTAAAATCAAGACGTTGCTGTCAATGTAATGCTTGGATCAAATAACAAGACACCAGTCGAGGCTGCGACAGAGAAGTAAGGGGCCGTCCATAAATGACGTCACGCGGGTTTGGACGATTTTGACCCCCCCCCCCCTTCGTCACACGGCGTCACAAATGTCTGACCCCCCCCCCCAGGTGCGTGACGTCATTTATGGACGGCCCCTTATGCAGTTACACTGTCGGGGTGTGGCAATAAACGTGTTGCCTCCAAGTTCAAGTGTGTGTCTCCGTGGAACCCACTGCACTCGTAAACAGCCGACAGACGGCGACAGAGTGATGGGTGAGAGGGGATGGCTCGAGAGAAACAGCCGGTGAACTCCATGCACGCGCGGTGTATGGTCAGCAGTGGATTGACGATAGAGCCTTAACCACCGTGTGGTCACAACGACGTTTGTGCCAGGCTAGGTACACTGCGATGCCACGTGAAGTGTCGACGGTTCGCTGACAGGAGGTCCGGAACAAACCCAGGTGCCATGGTTTGACTGAATGAGATGACTGGCAACTTGCTGTATTTTATCCGCCCGGCGCTACGCTCGTTGTTGTGAGCATTGCTGCGCTGCCCTCTAGTGTTGTTGGAGGGCGACTGCCTTCAACTGCCCAGTAGCAGCGTCCTTCAAGAACCTCCTCCATAGAGGCCGATGTTGACACCGCTGGTACCATTCTCCGGCAGGTCCACTTAGCTCCACATCCTCCTGTATCGCATCAGTCCATCTCTTTTCCAGCCCGTGCCGCGCCCGTTTAGCCCCCTCTATCCGGCCAAACAAAAGCTCATTGGGCATGCGTTGGCTGGGCTTGCGGGTTACCTGATCCAGTCAACGCAGCATTGCCAGCCGGACGAGCTCACTGATGGGGATGTGCCCAGATCTTTAAATAATTTGTGAGCTCCTCACACAATCTAGCCTGGTTAAACCCAGGATGGATCGTAGGCTAACCGGGAAAATGTTCTAATTAGAGGGATCCACGTTACGCAAGCAAAGAGAAGAGAGGGCATGTTCGTGACCGAGAATACCCGAAGCTTCGTATGGAGCGACAGACACATGATAAGCCACTTCGTTCAGCTATCATTTGTAGGCAGTTCGTTTCTGAAAAAGAGCGATATAGCTCAGTGGGCCTTATCTGGTCAAATCAAAAAAGCTAGATAAAAATATTTGGTTTAGTTTAGCTTCCACACATCGTTACGCAGCAGATTAAATTATAATTCTGCCCGAACAGATAACGAAACGATAATGCACATACACACAAACTTGTACGAGTAACCAAAGAGCTGCTTCGCTTTAAAATGTTTCTTGTTCATGTTTTTGTGTGTTGCGGTTGCACCCGAGTCAAGAGCCGCATGGCTCACAGGGCTATACCTAATAAATGCAACTGAATGATATGTGCAGCAGAGCCTCTTCCCACTGAGACACATTCGTCTTGGCCAGACATTCTCTCATTTCGCACATTGAACCCCAAGGACAACAGTGTCCATTGGTGTCTAGTCCAGCTGGGACAGGGACCGCGGAGCTGGGGTCGTGTCGGGGGGGGGGGGATAAGGGGGGGGGGATAAGGGGGCTGGCGTCAGTGTTCAACGGTTGGGGGTGGCGGGTGAGAGGTGCGTGGACGAGAGACCGCAGTCGTGGTTTAAACAAAAAATATTTTTTTGCAGTTGTCGGTAATGATCAGCAGGTGGCGATGTGGTTCGTACATTTCGCTTCGAACCCGGCCTCCTTTAGAGTTATATTCCCCGGCCACGGCTCGGAGCAATAGCGAGTGATATCTTCACCGGTCTTGGGCCCATGCCCCCATCAATAAACCAGCACACACCAGCGTGGTGAAGTATGCTCAAACGACTACCCTGACTAAAAAAGCGTGAGGATCATAGGCGGAGTTTGACTTCTACGTTTGGTGGGGGGGGGGGGGGGTCGCCTTGTCTCTCACGTTAGGCACCTCCGGTGCATATCATTTATTTTTTATTTTAAATGTTATTTGTAAAATACTGAAAGTAAATTAATAAAGGTGTCAAGTTTGCGGGATGGGAGGGGGGTGTGGCTCCCCGTGCCCCCCCGTAAACTCCGTCCATGGTGAGGATACCTCTATCCAGCAACGGACCGAACACTGAAATTTCCGTGGCGAGGCGATGTAATCACCGACTCACTCGCAAGCGTTACACGTGGGGAGCACGAGTGAGTAGAATACAATCCCAATACAGAGCGACCAATCCCTGGTCGCGCCACGTGCTTTCTCTCTCTCTGTCTCCCAGTCAGAGTCATAGTCTCAATTTGCCAAAATAAATACTATAAACCTTCTTGATTGGCCTAACCATGAACGACCTTTCGCTCCCCTACTGGCAGGCCGGTGATGCGTTCACCTTGTGCGGCACAGCCAAGTACGATCCCCTAGGCTTAATAAACAAGTCGTCCTGCGTCGTGAGACGTCTCGTGACGTTATAGGCGAAGCGTAAATGGAATAATTATTTTGTGATCATTAGATTTAGGGCCCACGCGATGTCCGGTCGTGATTAATAACGCAGCACCCACACAACGAGACGACGACCCGAGCGAGCGTTTTGCAAATGTCAGCAGCAGTGGAGGAGCAACAACTCCACAGCAAGCAGTTCCACAGGGCTGCTGCGTCAGCCCGTTTTGTGAATACAAGGCGACTGACTGTATGGTTCACCCCCCCCCCCCCTTTTAAATCACCAAGGAAAACACCGAGAGCGGTGAACGCGGCCTCCTCGTGCGATAAGAACC